TCAACCGGCAAATCATGCATGTAGATGTCACGAGTGGAGTACAACCGACAAATCATGCATGTAGATGTCACGAGTGGAGTACAACCGGCAAATCATGCATGTAGATGTCACGAGTGGAGTACAACCGCCAAATCATGCATGTAGATGTCACGAGTGCAGTACAACCGGGAAATCATGCATGTAGATGTCACGAGTGCAGTACAACCGGCAAATCATGCATGTAGGTGTCACGAGTGGAGTACAACCGGCAAATCATGCATGTAGGTGTCACGAGTGCAGTACAACCGGCAAATCATGCATGTAGGTGTCACGAGTGGAGTACAACCGGCAAATCATGCATGTAGGTGTCACGAGTGGAGTACAACCGGCAAATCATGCATGTAGGTGTCACGAGTGGAGTACAACCGGCAAATCATGCATGTAGATGTCACGAGTGGAGTACAACCGGCAAATCATGCATGTAGATGTCACGAGTGGAGTACAACCGGCAAATCATGCATGTAGATGTCACGAGTGGAGTACAACCGGCAAAATCATGCATGTAGATGTCACGAGTGGAGTACAACCGGCAAATCATGCATGTAGGTGTCACGAGCGGAGTACAACCGGCAAATCATGCATGTAGATGTCACGAGTGGAGTACAACCGGCAAATCATGCATGTAGATGTCACGAGTGGAGTACAACCGGCAAATCATGCATGTAGGTGTCACGAGTGGAGTACAACCGGCAAATCATGCATGTAGATGTCACGAGTGGAGTACAACCGACAAATCATGCATGTAGATGTCACGAGTGGAGTACAACCGGCAAATCATGCATGTAGATGTCACGAGTGGAGTACAACCGGCAAATCATGCATGTAGATGTCACGAGTGGAGTACAACCGGGAAATCATGCATGTAGATGTCACGAGTGCAGTACAACCGGGAAATCATGCATGTAGATGTCACGAGTGCAGTACAACCGGCAAATCATGCATGTAGGTGTCACGAGTGGAGTACAACCGGCAAATCATGCATGTAGGTGTCACGAGTGCAGTACAACCGGCAAATCATGCATGTAGGTGTCACGAGTGGAGTACAACCGGCAAATCATGCATGTAGGTGTCACGAGTGGAGTACAACCGGCAAATCATGCATGTAGGTGTCACGAGTGGAGTACAACCGCCAAATCATGCATGTAGATGTCACGAGTGGAGTACAACCGGGAAATCATGCATGTAGATGTCACGAGTGGAGTACAACCGGCAAATCATGCATGTAGATGTCACGAGTGGAGTACAACCGGCAAATCATGCATGTAGATGTCACGAGTGGAGTACAACCGGCAAATCATGCATGTAGGTGTCACGAGCGGAGTACAACCGGCAAATCATGCATGTAGATGTCACGAGTGGAGTACAACCGGCAAATCATGCATGTAGATGTCACGAGCGGAGTACAACCGGCAAATCATGCATGTAGGTGTCACGAGTGGAGTACAACCGGCAAATCATGCATGTAGATGTCACGAGTGGAGTACAACCGGGAAATCATGCATGTAGATGTCACGAGTGGAGTACAACCGGCAAATCATGCATGTAGATGTCACGAGTGGAGTACAACCGGCAAATCATGCATGTAGATGTCACGAGTGGAGTACAACCGGCAAATCATGCATGTAGGTGTCACGAGTTGAGTACAACCGGCAAATCATGCATGTAGGTGTCACGAGTGGAGTACAACCGGCAAATCATGCATGTAGATGTCACGAGTGGAGTACAACCTGCAAATCATGCATGTAGATGTCACGAGTGGAGTACAATCGGCAAATCATGCACGAGAGGAGTATCAGAGTTGACATTCATGTAAGCGCGTCACGAGAAGTGTAGAAGTGACATTTAATCACGATATATACACGATAATATACAGCTGGGATTTCAATATTCACATCAGTATTAATATATTTAAGCAGGATTTCCTTTGGAAGGTGCGATGTGTGCTCGAATTCGATCACCTCCCTCGCGATGGGGTTTTATCGATCACACCCTGTGAGATGTGGAGTCATAATCCTAAGGGGTTCGATCGTAACATCACTTGAGTGACTTCAGTATTAGATCGAGAACATTGTGATCTTGCTATAAAACTAATCTAGTAAAATCTAGTGGGTATTTTCCAATCACTTATGACTGACTCCGAATAATGAACACCAGGTCCTATCCTACGTCATGATTGCTTCCAGACCTACAGATAACTTTTTGGGTGATTGAATTATGTACTTGCTTGTGTTCATCTCAATTGCGTATCCTAATTTTTCTTTTAGTAACCAAATAAATTATACCCACCTCACTCAAACTCAATTGGGTATTTTGCCATTTTCTATCAATTGTAAAAATATGAAGTTTAAATGTTGGTTTACGTGTTGGTTATATATATTTGATCTGTAATATGAGAAACGATAAGAAAGACTGCAAGTTCATGTGTTTAAAAATAGAATCTCTCAATATACCTCAGTTATTTTATCTATCCACCGGTACACAAGCTAAGATTTGACCATTTTGTGTGTACGCATTTAAGATGAAATGTATTGAGTATTTACAAAACTTCAAGCGTACTTGTACGCAATAGGTTTAATAGGAATTGAGTTTTCACATAAATATTTTCGTAATTTACGCAGATACGCAGCGTATCTGTACCTCTGGCTTCTGTTTTGGTATTGAAAGGTCAGTCACCAATGGATGGCTTCTAAATTGTTTCAAGCCGGAAGTGTTAGCATGGTATGGAGACTGTTTGTTTGTAACAACCGTATTTTGTAAGAAGTAATGCTTACGCACGTGACTGGATGATGTTGAAGGTCAAGGTCAGTCGGTGTGAAGTAGATGCCCAATGTACACTTTATCATGACCATTCATGATGACTATTTGATCAAACATAATGTGCATCATCTCTAAGCGGTTTGCGGCTGAATTGAATGTCAATGTCATTTAACCGGAAGTACAGAAAACTTTTGAAGGTTTGAAGGTTATCCAACATTGGCCATTTGTCAAAATGCAAGTGAATGTTATATAATCGTACCTTTGTTATAACGCTAATTATGGGCGTCATCTTTTCTGTTTCAGAAATGCACTGCAGTACTTGTTCCCAAACACAAGTGATTTTATTAAACCTGAAACTGCGTGTGTACTTCGTCATTAAGGTAGCTAGGGCATGGAGATTGCTGTTTCGATGCTGTACTGCATTAGCGACGTTTTCTCCCAAGCAGCAAGTCAGCTTATTAAACCGGAAGCACTCGCAACATGCATATTGAGGCAGTAGGAGCCTTGAAGTTTATGATTGGAAACTGTACTGTACTGACCATGTATTTTCCCAAATGCAAGTGATTAAACCGCCATAACTTTGACACGAAATTAGGGAGACGTATGAGACGTTGGAAACTTCAGTTGGTAGGTTTTGAGCCTGTTCTCTTACGTCGTGTAATGAAAACTTATGTTTTATTTAGACGACAGTTATAAAATATATGTATAGATGCAACAGCAACAGCCTAACACCGGTACACTTTGGCACTGACCGGGAAGTCATTGATCAGAGGTATGGGGTTTTGAAAATCTCGACTTAATTGAACGGATTCCCCTATGTTTTTGAAACTCTAAGCCATGTTTTATGGTATATGGCGAACTTGGAAGACAACCGTTATATATATATACAAACGTATGATAGCGTTCTGGCATAATTTGAATCTTCCAAATGATGTAATAAAATTATCCCAAGTAATTTATAATTTTATCACATTGGACCCTCATATCAATTGTAACGATTATCCCTGGCTCAATTCAATCAGGCATATCCAAAATAATCTTGGACTAAGTCATGTTCTAAACAATCCACTTGGGTATTCCACTCCATGGTTAGTCTCAAATGCTGAACGAATCCTTAAAGATCAGTTTATTCAAAAGGCATTTATTATCGATGCTACGAACACTCCCCTGATTTAGAAATATATGTTCACCTTCCTAAAGCTATATCACAGCAACTTTTGATATTCCGAACATCTAACCATAACCTTCCGGTTGAGATTGGCCGCTGGAGTGGAGTTCCCAGAGAAGAGCGACTTTGCCCTCACTGCAGCTCACAGCAGTTGCAGATGAGTTCCATTATTTTTTAAATGTGAAAACCTTCATTTCCGAAAGATCCATTTTTATCCCAAATCAATTTCTACAATGGCCGAATCTCTCAAAAATGGTGAACCTTCTCAAATCCCAAAAAACAAACACTTTACGTAACTAGGCAAAATATATTGTTTCCAAAAAGCTATAAAAAAAAAGTCTAATTAGTAACATTTACGCTTTTTCAATTAGTTATAATATATCTTTTTATGTCTATTATAAATGACGTCGATGTCATTTTGTACATCCTTGCTATCTTGGTATTTATTGTATTCATTTGCATTTACTACCGTTCGTGGGTTTTTAAGAAATAACGATGATGATGATGATGATAGCATCAGATCACACATTCGTGATGCATGACACGTTGATGAAGGACGCTCCTCTATGTACAGATGCCAACAACATCTATGTTAAGTGTCAATATCAAGGAATATCAACAAGTGCAAAACCAAGTGTTTGTTGGAGGGCATGTTTGTGTACTTGTGTATGTAAGGAAATAAACCTTGAATGTGAAAATGCTGAAGGACTTCGGTTTCTTGGGTCTTTCCTAAATTACGATATGTCTTAATGACGCCTTTCACGACATAGATTGAAAGGGTGGCTGAATCTGTTCGTCAACTGTCAATGCAGCGCCTCTTAATTCGGCCTACCCCTCTTATGCTTCCAAAATTGGCTGCTGTTTCCGTTGACTTTGTTGTGACTGAGATAGCTGTGAGTAGACTGAAGACTTCTCTCAAACCATTGGTCCAGGACTGTCTTGTTTACCACACTGCATTTATTGGTGCGTTCTGTGAATTGCTAAATCGAACGGCCGTGTTCATGAATATAACATGTGTACAATATTGTGTTCTCAGTTGCGTGTTCAACCTAGCGAGCCTAATGTCAAAGGTTAAAGGGCGACCCGAAGTGTGAGCATGCGCCTTAGGGCCGCACTGCTGGTGCTCTGCCTGCTGGTGATGCTTGTTGCAAGTGCGGACGGGAAATGTAGGAAGAAAAAGGGCGGGAAGAAATGTGAAAAGGCACCAGTTGGTAAGACAACAAAATATTGCTGGTCATGGTTAAGACAATCGGCTAACCCTGAATCCGGATCTAACCATTTTGTAGTTGCTATTTATATGTGTAATTACGAGCTACGTCAACGTTAATATGAACTTTGTGATTACCCAAACTGTCTCCCAGGTATATTTGTGGCCCAATTGTTTCATCAGATGTCATCAGAGGGAGTAGGTTTAATGACTTGACTGTTGTCGCTAGAAGACTGATAAAGATGCCGAACCCCTCGACCAATACAACTCACACATAATGGAAGGACGCCCATTTCCATGTCGCCGGAGCTGTTTGTAATTTGTCAGGAAGAATGATAATAAGTGTAAAACGCACATCCACCTGTACTTGGTTTTCAAAAGTACGTTTGCAGTAGTGTTCATTGTTTATTTGCTACATCTTGGCGACCCAGGGCCCCCTCGCTGGCGACGTCGCAGGAAGGAGACTGTGCTTGTGGAGCGAGAGCTGGCCACGGTGGTGTTAAAGTGTCAGGCGCGAGCTAATCCCAGACCTCGCTATAGGTGGTACAGAGACGGCAACCTTCTTAATACCAAGAAGTCCAAAAAGGTTGGTCAATGTATGTCCCACTGACTTCACACAATGTACGCTATGACCTGTAAGACGAGACCATGTGGATATAACATCCAGTTAGTTTCAGTAGAGAAGGTGTTGCTTGTGGCCTTTCTCCTAAGGGGCCGTTTCACCCATTTTGTTCTGGGGAGGTAGGGGGGGTCAGCAATTTTGTACACATGTTTCTAGGGGGGATCAGCAATTTTGTACATACGAATATTTAAATATTATGATTTAAAAATATGGAATGAAGGAGGGGGTCATTGACTTTGTACATGACATGCAGGGGGGGGGGGTCACTTACTTTGTGCATAAATTTCACATTGTACATGCTTCTCCATAAACATCATCATCATCACCACCCCCACCCACCCCTAGCCATACATTATGAACGGTCCCTAAGTAAAGACGGTGTACATGTGGGTAATGATCTCTGCAAACAGAGAATTGTGGGTTATCGCCCTTTTACCAAGTAACTATGGTAGACATGACATTTGTGGGTTATCGCACCTTTGTCTCAAACTGGGCAACTCCTCTGACACCTACGTTGGCGTTCCGTTACGCTGAATATTTAGCTACAATTCATATCAACAACATACTGGCTGAATTACTAGTTAGGATACGGTAGATCACTGCATGCGGCCTAGCTTTGTAGACAAGACAAAGATATTTGTAACACTCGATGGCAGGACAAGAACTGCACTGTGAAACACACTCAAACCCACACATTCACGCCCACATAGACACATATACACGCAGGTATACACACATACGCACACACCTGCAGACACACAAGCTCACACACGCGCATACAAACACATATATACACACATGTATTAACACATGTGTTGAACTGTGTGTACCATTAAGCACTGTGTATTCCAGTACCGGCGCAGGTCGTTCCGCCTGACCATCAACTCGCTTCAGATGGCCGACTCCGGACAGTACACGTGCATCGTCTACAACTCACTCGGATCTCTCAACGGGACGTTTACGCTGAGGGTATTAGGTGAACACTTCTTATTGAATATTGCATTCGCCACAAGGGATCTGCTCCATTATAGTCAACTAGTACAGCTGGTAAAAACATGATAAGTACATAAGTTCAAACCCATAACCTCTCATGTATTACAAATCTTCTAGGATTACAACCATCTCTCCAATAGTTGTTGCTGCCCCACATAGTGAACATCTATACAGTGGCACTTGAATATGTCGTGTTTATGTTGCAGGGTCGACCCACGATATGTCTGAGATCACTGTCAAGGAAAGACCCAGAAACCAGACCGCTAAGATAGGAGACACGGTGGTGTTCGGCTGCAGTACGGACAGTTTCCCCAGGCCCACTATAGAGTGGTCGCGGAAGAAGGGGAACAGTCCTCGGGTGGACATCCTGCAGGTACCCTTTACATTGCACACGATTAGCAACAGGCTCGACTGTAGAAACAAGCACCAGTGTCGATCATGTAAACAAGCACCACTGTCGATCTTGTAACTAAGCAATCGTGGATATTGACTGCAACCTTTGTGTTATGAGCTTATCTTGATATCATTATCAATAACTAGACCTAAGCAATATTCTCAAATGAAAGGTCATTTTGGAAATCAAAGTTCCATATTTCAGAAACCTAGTGCCAGTAGACGTGCCGAGATGTTCGTGCTTGACCGAGTGACCAAGGATGACATCGGCTTATACACGTGTACCATCAAAAATAAGATGTCCAGTCGCCAGCTCACAGCTAAACTAGATGTTATACGAGAAGGTGCGTTACCCAAACAGAAGTTGAATACACACGGATTCCAGCCTTGTCAGTCGTCACACACATAGTTACACAGTACCGGACATTATTCCCAAGACATAACTTTATACATTACCATGCAGCTTTGTGGATTTGAGGCATATGGAGGGGCCCATGGATATATCTTCCCGATTCCATTGTCTTGTGGGTGCAGCCTGAGTTTATTAGGGCTGTCAGTAGGGGTTGGTGGTACCCAGGTTATCAGGGCTGTCAGTAGGGGTTGGTGGTACCCAGGTTATCAGGGCTGTCAGTAGGGGTTGGTGGTACCCAGGTTATCAGGGCTGTCAGTAGGGGTTGGTGGTACCCAGATTATCAGGGCTGTCAGGAGGGGTTGGTGGTACCCAGATTATCAGGGCTGTCAGTAGGGGTTGGTGGTTCCCCAGGTTATCAGGGCTGTCAGTAGGGGTTGGTGGTACCCAGGTTATCAGGGCTGTCAGTAGGGGTTGGTGGTACCCAGGTTATCAGGGCTGTCAGTAGGGTTGGTGGTACCCAGATTATCAGGGCTGTCAGTAGGGGTTGGTGGTACCCAGGTTATCAGGGCTGTCAGTAGGGGTTGGTGGTACCCAGATTATCAGGGCTGTCAGTAGGGGTTGGTGGTTCCCCAGGTTATCAGGGCTGTCAGTAGGGGTTGGTGGTACCCAGGTTATCAGGGCTGTCAGTAGGGGTTGGTGGTACCCGGGTTATCAGGGCTGTCAGTAGGGTTGGTGGTACCCAGATTATCAGGGCTGTCAGTAGGGGTTGGTGGTACCCAGGTTATCAGGGCTGTCAGTAGGGGTTGGTGGTACCCAGGTTATCAGGGCTGCCAGTAGGGGTTGGTGGTTATCAGGGCTGTCAGTAGGGGTTGGTGGTTATCAGGGCTGTCAGTAGGGGTTGGTGGTACCCAGGTTATCAGGGCTGTCGATGGAGGTTGGTGGTACCCAGGTTACCTATATATCAGCCTGTTGTCGAGGCACAATCAGTTCGGAGTTAAACGTAGGTGGCGCAAATAACAATTGTGGATTGAAGCAGATGTGATCATAAAGGCGATAAATTACGTCATTGTTGGTAAATTGTTAAACAGACCTTGTTTTATGTGTGTTTGAAATATGTTTTTTGAGTGCCATTGGTTATGTTAGTTGTGTTATGTACCATGTGTGAGTGTATGGACTCTTTGAATAATCATTTCTTCAGAAAGGGATATGTATTCATTGATTCCAGAGAGTAAGTTCTATTTCATACTGTTTTGAGATGTATCCTCATCAACCAAGTCCCAAGTAGTACAGACATTGTTCCTCTTTCACCATGAAACCGAGGAGGCACGTATGGTACAGACAAACCGTGGATCATAACTAGTGCAAATGTCAGATTCGAACCCACGATCAATGAATCATACCCCGCCCAAGGGACGCTACTATATACATTATGACGTATTACAGTGCTTGTATGATACATTCTCCAGTGAGTAAGTTTAGTTTAATGTCGCTTTTAACCAGTGTGCGAAATAGTTTCCAAAATTTGCTAGGCATTCGACCTAGCTATGCGTGAAAGTTACTAGCCCACAAAATTATTCACAAGCCCGAAATTTGAATGTAGACATGGGTTTCATCATTAAGCTGCTTATATGATGAACATTTTTATCAGGCCATAATCTTGCATGATTTAAAAGTGTATTAACTTAATAAGTCGGCGAGAGTGATACATTTACAAATGACCCCATGAAAAGTCACTCGCCAGTCGGGCCAGTGACTGTGGCGATTTACTGGCCCGACTGGATTTTTACTAGCCACGGGCTTGCGGGCCAGTGGCTATATCGAACACTGCTTTTAACAGTGTTTCTGTTACATCGTGAGATGCCAGCTTGACCACGAAGTTTACAGTTGTGATCTCACTGATGGTCAGAAGTAGAAATCCCGTGTAATCCTAAATCAGGGTAGACTTGTGTGTCCATATAAGTGACACCAGAAAGTCAGTGGTATATAAGTACATCACTGACACACAAACCCTTCCCCTTACCCTTGCAGGCGAGGAATTACCATTTGAACCAAAGTGCGCGTTGCACATTCGCAAGGAGTACCTATATGACAGCGTGTATGGTTGCAAGACATCACAACCCGTCAAGATCACCTACTGCATGGGATCGTGCGGCCGCAGCGAGTTTACCCCCCTCCTCGTCCTGGCGGCTACCAACATGTCGTCCACAGCCTCTACCCCCACACCCCACATCAACCAGACATGCAAGTGTTGTGTAGGACAGGTGCAAAGCCTCCGCGTGGTGTCCCTGGACTGTCCCTCAGGGGGTACAATGAACGGATTCTTCACCACGCTGGGAGGGTGTGTGTGCCGAAGCTGTAGTGTTGAAGGTGGGTGGGGATGGGCTCCATGTAAGTAACACCTAGTTGTAATGGTGGTCTTCACTCCTATGTAACATATAGCGTCAGTGCTGCAAGCTGATTACAGACTGATGGACTGCGCTGCAGACAGGTAGTACGACAGACTGATTCTGTTACAGAGCGATTGTGCTACAGACTGGCAGTACTACAATATGATAGTGTTGGACTGATTGTGCTACAGACTGTCCCTGCCCCCCTCTGGATCCGCCTATGGATCAGGGCCCAGACTGATCATGTCAGAGACTGAACGTATCATAGACTGATTGTGTTACAGACTGAACGTACCATAGACTGATTGTGTTATAGACTGAACGTATCATAGACTGATTGTGTTATAGACTGAACGTATCACAGACTGATTGTGTTAAAGACTGAACGTATCACAGACTGATTGTGTTAAAGACTGTACGTATCACAGACTGATTGTGTTATAGACTGAACGTATCACAGACTGATTGTGTTAAAGACTGAACGTATCACAGACTGAAGGTATCACAGACTGATTGTGTTACAGACTGAAGGTATCACAGACTGATTGTGTTACAGACTGAAGGTATCACAGACTGATTGTGTTACAGACTGAAGGTATCACAGACTGATTGTGTTACAGACTGAAGGTATCACAGACTGATTGTGTTAAAGACTGATAATATCATAGACTGATTGTGTTATAGACTGATAGTTTCACAGATTGATTGTGTTAAAGACTGAACGTATCACAGACTGAAGGTATCACAGACTGATTGTGTTACAGACTGAAGGTATCACAGACTGATTGTGTTACAGACTGAAGGTATCACAGACTGATTGTGTTACAGACTGAAGGTATCACAGACTGATTGTGTTAAAGACTGATAATATCATAGACTGATTGTGTTATAGACTGATAGTTTCACAGATTGACTGTGTTATAGACTGATACTTTCACAGACTGATTGTGTTAAAGACTGATACTTTCACAGACTGATTGTGTTAAAGACTGATACTTTAACAGACTGATTGTGTTAAGGACTGATAGTTTCACAGATTGATTGTGTTAAAGACTGATACTTTCACAGACTGATTGTGTTAAAGACTGATACTTTCACAGATTGATTGTGTTAAAGACTGAAGGTATCACAGACTGATTGTGTTAAAGACTGATAATATCATAGACTGATTGTGTTAAAGACTGATAGTTTCACAGATTGATTGTGTTAAAGACTGATAGTTTCACAGATTGATTCTGCAACAAGCTGATAGTTTCACAGACTGCGGTTACAAACTTACAGTTTAATTTTGTTGCAATGTCGTAATGCTTCAAGCTGATCTAGACTGTAAGTTTCATATTGAACGTTACGTATTGGAGCAGGACACTGTTTGTTATTTGTCGACAACCCATTACTTCATATATGTCCCGATTATTCGAAACTATTTTTCTCGTTGTAGCCGAAATGGGCGCAACGGATGAGCCAACTGCCAGAACACCGTGACGCACTGACGACCGTCAAGGCTGCTGCTGACATTGCCTGGAACACCACGTCTTTGTAGACGTCATCCCGATGCGTCTGTTCCAGTCAACGCAGTCAGGAATAGGCAGAATAACTACAGGATGACCCCATTGCTCATGTGGTCTGCTGCTATATGTGCCCAGTCGGTCACTCAAGGGCTTGGTCAGTGGATCTGCTGCTCTGCATGACGGCACGTGATTTACCTGGGGTTGGAGCGTAGCCTGGCGGGAATTAACGCCCGACATGCAAAACGCTCCTCTGTTGTCCATTTTTATGCCGATGTTGTGTCACATTTTTCCTAATAGTGATATTTTTTTATTAATCATGATTATGGACAGTGGTTCTGTTGACTTCATATGAAAGTAAGTGACTTGGGACACGTGCCTATGTGTTATGTATCAACAGTGATGAATCGCCACAGCTGACCCAAGTGCTGGGACGGGTCAAACGGACAGTAAATTTATCAATACAATATTATGTAACATGTTAAGCTTGTCCATTGCCTTACATAACGGTTGAATCATATTCTGATAATCGCCTTCGACGACAAACAGCTTTCAACATAGAAAGTATACGACAGACAGTTCCCCGTAAGCCGTGATGTATGTCAACCAAGCTACATATACGGTCATACATACTTTTACCCTTCTCTGGCCACGTTTCCGTTTGAACCTAGAACAAAAATGTAATTCCACGCAATAGGCCTCGACACCTGTAGAGTTGACACTGTATAATAAAGATCCCTTCTACTTTTTTTTATTTATCATTTGAACTACAAATTGTATTACATAATGAAAGGCTTTAGTTGGACTCCTAACCCCACGTTTGGGAATCACATGTAAGCCGATTATTGGTAACGTTTCCACGGGTAATGTTTTGTTTGTTTTTATTATCCCCCGCCGCGCGTTTAGCGCGAAGCAGGGATATACTAGTAGTATTAGGCGTTTAGTGCGAAGCAGGGGATATACTAGTAGTATTAGGCGTTTAGCGCGAAGCAGGGGATATACTAGTAGTATTAGGCGTTTAGCACGAAGCAGGGGATATACTAGTAGTATTAGGCGTTTACTAGTAGTATATAGGTAGTTTAGGCGTTTAGCAGGGGGATCTAATAGTAGTAGTAGCATTAGGCGTTTAGCGCGAAGCAGGGGTATACTAGTAGTATTAGGCGTTTAGCGCGAAGCAGGGGATATACTAGTAGTATTAGGCGTTTAGCGCGAAGCAGGGAGTATACGTAGCGCGAAGCAGGGATAGTAGTATTAGGCGTTTAGCGCGAAGCAGGGATATACTAGTAGTATTAGGCGTTTAGCGCGAAGCAGGGATATACTAGTAGTATTAGGGGTTTAGCGCGAAGCAGGGGATATACTAGTAGTATTAGGCGTTTAGCGAAGCAGGGGATATACTAGTAGTATTAGGCGTTTAGCGCGAAGCATAGGATATACTAGTAGTATTAGGCGTTTAGCGCGAAGCAGGGGATATACTAGTAGTATTAGGCGTTAAGCGCGAAGCAGGGGATATACTAGTAGTATTAGGCGTTTAGCGCGAAGCAGGGGATATACTAGTAGTATTAGGCGTTTAGCGCGAAGCAGGGATATACTAGTAGTATTAGGCGTTTAGCGCGAAGCAGGGATATACTATTAGTATTAGGCGTTTAGCGCAGCAGGGATATGCTAGTAGTATTAGGCGTTTAGCGCGAAGCAGGGGATATACTAGTAGTATTAGGCGTTTAGCGCGAAGCAGGGATATAGTAGTAGTATTAGGCGTTTAGCGCAAGCAGGGATACACTAGTAGTATTTGGCGTTTAGCGCGCGAAGGGGATACACTAGAAGTATTAGGCGTTTAGCGCGAAGCAGGGATATACTAGTAGTATTAGGCGTTTAGCGCGAAGCAGGGGATATACTAGTAGTATTAGGCGTTTAGCGCGAAGCATAGGATATACTAGTAGTATTAGGCGTTTAGCGCGAAGCAGGGATATACTATTAGTATTAGGCGTTTAGCGCGAAGCAGGGATATGCTAGTAGTATTAGGCGTTTAGCGCGAAGCAGGGGATATAGTAGTAGTATTAGGCGTTTAGCGCGAAGCAGGGGATACACTAGTAGTATTTGGCGTTTAGCGCGAAGCAGGGGATACACTAGAAGTATTAGGCGTTTAGCGCGAAGCAGGGGATATACTAGTAGTATTAGGCGTTTAGCGCGAAGCAGGGGATATACTAGTAGTATTAGGCGTTTAGCGCGAAGCATAGGATATACTAGTAGTATTAGGCGTTTAGCGCGAAGCAGGGGATATACTAGTAGTATTAGGCGTTAAGCGCGAAGCAGGGGGTATACTAGTAGTATTAGGCGTTTAGCGCGAAGCAGGGATATACTAGTAGTATTAGGCGTTTAGCGCGAAGCAGGGATATACTAGTAGTATTAGGCGTTTAGCGCGAAGCAGGGGATATACTAGTAGTATTAGGCGTTTAGCGCGAAGCAGGGGATATACTAGTAGTATTAGGCGTTAAGCGCGAAGCAGGGGTATACTAGTAGTATTAGGCGTTTAGCGCGAAGCAGGGGATATACTAGTAGTATTAGGCGTTTAGCGCGAAGCAGGGGATATACAAGTAGTATTAGGCGTTTAGCGCGAAGCATAGGATATACTAGTAGTATTAGGCGTTTAGCGCGAAGCAGGGGATATACTAGTAGTATTAGGCGTTAAGCGCGAAGCAGGGGGTATACTAGTAGTATTAGGCGTTTAGCGCGAAGCAGGGATATACTAGTAGTATTAGGCGTTTAGCGCGAAGCAGGGATATACTAGTAGTATTAGGCGTTTAGCGCGAAGCAGGGATATACTATTAGTATTAGGCGTTTAGCGCGAAGCAGGGATATGCTAGTAGTATTAGGCGTTTAGCGCGAAGCAGGGGATATACTAGTAGTATTAGGCGTTTAGCGCGAAGCAGGGATATAGTAGTAGTATTAGGCGTTTAGCGCGAAGCAGGGATACACTAGTAGTATTTGGCGTTTAGCGCGAAGCAGGGATACACTAGAAGTATTAGGCGTTTAGCGCGAAGCAGGGATATACTAGTAGTATTAGGCGTTTAGCGCGAAGCAGGGGATATACTAGTAGTATTAGGCGTTTAGCGCGAAGCATAGGATATACTAGTAGTATTAGGCGTTTAGCGCGAAGCAGGGATATACTATTAGTATTAGGCGTTTAGCGCGAAGCAGGGATATGCTAGTAGTATTAGGCGTTTAGCGCGAAGCAGGGATATAGTAGTAGTAGTATTAGGCGTTTAGCGCGAAGCAGGGGATACACTAGTAGTATTTGGCGTTTAGCGCGAAGCAGGGGATACACTAGAAGTATTAGGCGTTTAGCGCGAAGCAGGGATATACTAGTAGTATTAGGCGTTTAGCGCGAAGCAGGGATATACTAGTAGTATTAGGCGTTTAGCGCGAAGCAGGGATATACTAGTAGTATTAGGCGTTTAGCGCGAAGCAGGGGATATACTAGTAGTATTAGGCGTTTAGCGCGAAGCAGGGATATACTAGTAGTATTAGGCGTTAAGCGCGAAGCAGGGGTATACTAGTAGTATTAGGCGTTTAGCGCGAAGCAGGGGATATACTAGTAGTATTAGGCGTTTAGCGCGAAGCAGGGGATATACTAGTAGTATTAGGCGTTTAGCGCGAAGCAGGGATATACTAGTAGTATTAGGCGTTTAGCGCGAAGCAGGGGATATACTAGTAGTATTAGGCGTTAAGCAGGGGTATACTAGTAGTATTAGGCGTTTAGCGCGAAGCAGGGATATACTAGTAGTATTAGGCGTTTAGCGCGAAGCAGGGATATACTAGTAGTATTAGGCGTTTAGCGCGAAGCAGGGATATACTATTAGTATTAGGCGTTTAGCGCGAAGCAGGGATATGCTAGTAGTATTAGGCGTTTAGCGCGAAGCAGGGGATATACTAGTAGTATTAGGCGTTTAGCGCGAAGCAGGGATATAGTAGTAGTATTAGGCGTTTAGCGCGAAGCAGGGGATACACTAGTAGTATTTGGCGTTTAGCGCGAAGCAGGGGATACACTAGAAGTATTAGGCGTTTAGCGCGAAGCAGGGATATACTAGTAGTATTAGGCGTTTAGCGCGAAGCAGGGGATATACTAGTAGTATTAGGCGTTTAGCGCGAAGCATAGGATATACTAGTAGTATTAGGCGTTTAGCGCGAAGCAGGGATATACTATTAGTATTAGGCGTTTAGCGCGAAGCAGGGATATGTTACTAGTAGTATTAGGCGTTTAGCGCGAAGCAGGGATATAGTAGTAGTATTAGGCGTTTAGCGCGAAGCAGGGATACACTAGTAGTATTTGGCGTTTAGCGCGAAGCAGGGGATACACTAGAAGTATTAGGCGTTTAGCGCGAAGCAGGGATATACTTCAGTAGTATTAGGCGTTTAGCGCGAAGCAGGGGATATACTAGTAGTATTAGGCGTTTAGCGCGAAGCAGGGGATATACTAGTAGTATTAGGCGTTTAGCGCGAAGCAGGGGGATATACTAGTAGTATTAGGCGTTAAGCGCGAAGCAGGGGTATACTAGTAGTATTAGGCGTTTAGCGCGAAGCAGGGATATACTAGTAGTATTAGGCGTTTAGCGCGAAGCAGGGGATATACTAGTAGTATTAGGCGTTTAGCGCGAAGCATAGGATATACTAGTAGTATTAGGCGTTTAGCGCGAAGCAGGGGATATACTAGTAGTATTAGGCGTTAAGCGCGAAGCAGGGGTATACTAGTAGTATTAGGCGTTTAGCGCGAAGCAGGGATATACTAGTAGTATTAGGCGTTTAGCGCGAAGCAGGGATATACTAGTAGTATTAGGCGTTTAGCGCGAAGCAGGGATATACTATTAGTATTAGGCGTTTAGCGCGAAGCAGGGATATGCTAGTAGTATTAGGCGTTTAGCGCGAAGCAGGGGATATACTAGTAGTATTAGGCGTTTAGCGCGAAGCAGGGATATAGTAGTAGTATTAGGCGTTTAGCGCGAAGCAGGGGATACACTAGTAGTATTTGGCGTTTAGCGCGAAGCAGGGGATACACTAGAAGTATTAGGCGTTTAGCGCGAAGCAGGGATATACTAGTAGTATTAGGCGTTTAGCGCGAAGCAGGGGATATACTAGTAGTATTAGGCGTTTAGCGCGAAGCAGGGGATATACTAGAAGTATTAGGCGTTTAGCGCGAAGCAGGTGATATACTAGTAGTATTAGGCGTTTAGCGCGAAGCAGGGGATATACTAGTAGTATTAGGCGTTAAGCGCGAAGCAGGGGATACACTAGTAGTATTAGGCGTTTAGCGCGAAGCAGGGATAAACTAGTAGTATTAGGCGTTTAGCGCGAAGCAGGGATATACTAATAGTATTGGGCGTTTAGCGCGAAGCAGGGGATATACTAGTAGTATTAGGCGTTTAGCGCGAAGCAGGGATATGCTAGTAGTATTAGGCGTTTAGCGCGAAGCAGGGATATACTAGTAGTATTAGGCGTTTAGTGTGAAGCAGGGGATATACTAGTAGTATTAGGCTCCGTCCGTACGTCCGTACAAATTGGAATATCTTAAATATCGTTAACTTGATTCTTTTCATATTTGGTCTTAGGTTGATCACAATATGCAAAAGGTCCCAGTCAGGTTTGGTTTTCTTGACCTTCATTTCAAGGTCACAAGGAGACTTTAACGTTTTACCCTTGTCAGCGAGATATCTGAAGAACCCTTCCTGGATTTTCTTCATATTCAACACCAAGTT